AAATAATATGATAATAAATAATGAAAATATTTAAATTTTTATGTTTTTTTTTTTCTTAGCTTCGTTTTTACCTTAACAAATGGAAGGTGTATTTTTTTTCAAAGTGAAAATTGGCAGAATGATTTAAACATAGCTGTGGTAAATGAATAATGTACACTTGTTTAGGCATCATAGGTGTGCTTCCAAATACTAGAGCAACTTCTTTTATGTGTTCTTTTTTCGAATTTTCTAATTCGCTTCTTGTTTTTTCAAATAATAGTTCAAGAGTGTCAAGTCCATTTTCTGCTATCTTAAATTGTCTTTCAATTGAAGAATATGCATTGCTTTCATTTTTCTAATAATAATTGTTATAAAAAAAATTATTAATTAACTTAATTAAGAGTCATTGTTATTTATTGAAAGAAAATTAAATCCAAAATATTTTTTGATTTTTAGATTCTTTTTAAACAATTTAAGAAGAAAAGAGTTTAAAAGCTTTAATTTACCTGATTTGTATTAGAATTTTTTCTAGTTATAAGATACTTAAGTCTATCGAAAGTATATGGTAATTGTTGCTTTCGATAAAGAATAAACTTGATGAGCTCAGAAATTATAGTTAAACATGAATCTAAAGTTAAAACTTCTTCTAATTCTATGTCTAAAATATTAGAATTATTTTTTACATGTTCAACTGAACCCATTCTAGTAATTTTTAATTTAAAAATTATTCAATAAAAAAAAATATATACTATTTACAAAGGTTTGTAAAAAAAAACGGTCAAATCTTATGTGTACTAAAAAGCTTTTCTAATGCCACGACATTTTTCAACCATGATAGAGGTAAAAATTAAATATTTGAAATAAATAAATTTTAGTTATTAACGCACTAAAAAAATATTCTTTTTATTTTCACAGAATTAATAATACTTATAATAATTTATAAGAGATTTTAAAAAGTATTAATGATTTTAAAATTTTTAGAATTTTGCCCTAAATTCTTTCACACCAAATTACGTCAAAATTTTGCTTTTTT